GATTTGAGAGATTGAAGATGAGTCAGGTTAAATGATTCAATGAGTCATTTTAAAACCAAACAGTGGCTGCTTCTCAATTACAAGAACACAGAGAACGGACTTGCTTTCTCATGAAGACCGGTCCTGCCAGGTCACCTCGGGAGACCTCGAGGACAGAGAAGGCATCCTGTGAGGAATGAGATGCTGCGTCCTTCCTGATGGTCACATGACCTTCACGTGTTTATAACTGGAAATGATGTGAACATTACAGCATTCATACAATGATTGATTGTTGTCCAGCTTTTCACAATATACACTCTGCATAGTTAAGCACAAATAAAGCAGATTTAAACATTAATTTCAGCAAATGAACACCCTTAATGTGTTGATTTCTTTATTAAGATGTTCCTGGTGATGTTTATATCCACCGTCTCATTTAGGGAAACTCCTGAAGTAAATAAGTGATCTCTCTGAACATTAATAATAAATAAACCTATATAACTGCTGCACTTCCCACCTGCTTTATTCAGTCGCAATGACTTCTGGGACTTCTCGAGCGAGTTCGGTGCTCAAGTCTGCATCGGTGCTTCCTCAATATCAAGAACACATCCAGGAAGTTTGATGCGTCCTCTGTTCTTGCGGTCTTGAGTTTTGGTACTGAACTTTGGCAGCTGATGATGACGACGTTACATAAGGATGTAAGACCGCTGAAGAACATACTGAGAGACAGCCAGTCATTCCACAAGAACTGATTCAGAAGAGTCACCCATGTGATTCGTTTACTCTGGCTGTTTCTCAGTATGTGTTCTTCAGGGGTCTTGCGTCCTCGTGTAACGTCATCATCAGCTGACTGTTATTTGTGTGTGTGTGTGCTGTCTCTCTGATGTGCTTTTCTTTATTTCTCTCTCCAGCGTTCACTAAAATGATCACAGTCAATGGTCAGGAGTATCACCTGCAGCTCGTGGACACAGCCGGACAGGTCACACACACACGTACACACACACACACACACACACACACACGTACACACACACACACACACACACACACACGTACACAGATATGCTCTTACATTGACAAACACTCACATTGACATACTTGCATGCACACAGAGACATATAGTGTACACTCACATTAATGAACACACACATGCACACTCACATATACATACACAAAATCTATTAAATAAAAAAAAATACACGAAAGACAAAAACAAAAAGAGAAATG